CAGCAGGGGACTTCTTTCTAAACAATTTCTTTTTGAGTGTCCCATTAGAGCAAATCACTTCAACATCCAGGATAGGTAACCACTCACTTTCCTCTACTCGCATCGTGAATTGAATTTTTCTATCAATCTGCTTTATAAATTTCAGAAGATCTTCCAGTTCTTCTCTCCCATGTGACCAAAGTGCAAAGTAATCATCCAGGCCCCGCACCAGTACTGCTGGTTGTAGCGGTGACATCTTGAAGTTCTCTTCTATTTTTTTCATGTATACGTTTGCCAAAAGTGGTGACAAGTCCAACTATTTGTTCATAGATGGTCCTGTTGAATGTAAAATAGGTTGTCCCTGCTGCAAAGTTGATTAGTCGTGCTAACGACTCCCTTCTGATCCGTTGTGATTCCACGATATCCTCCTCTCGGTCCAAAATTTCCAGCAGGATCGTTAGCACCTTTGCTCCACACATGTTTGTAGGCATGGATTGTACATCGAAATATACCAATAAATATGTATTGGTATTTTTTATTCTTTGAGAATATTTATATGAATATTTCACTGTGTTAGATACCTCATTTAATTTATTGAGTTTCAAACATATGCACTTTGTCAATTCATGTGTTGCTCCATAATTGTTGTTGAACATAAGCCTTAGTGCTTCGCTTTCTTTGTGTATTTTCGGTAATCCGTAGGCTGTCGGTGGTTGTGTATACTTTCGTATGATTGAATTTTTTGCCCATGCGTCAGTTTCCCCGTTCCCATGCATATCTTTCAGCATGTCACGTGAGGTTCTATTGATATTCATAGTTGGGTCCTACCTTAACGTACGATTTGTATTCCTGTCTCGCAGAATAAACTATATCTTCTCAATAGAGTGCTGTTTGTCCATTATTTGCCTGAAGGACTAATTGTTGATTCCTTTCCGGGGTCTTGCGTATCCTGACTACTCTGTTTCAGTGTGATCGGTCTTGATGTGTCAGGATGTTTTGGAATGAGTTCCATTTCAATTTCCCGTTTTGATTCCCCGGGAAAATTTTCGGAGTTATTGATAACCTCCACCAGGATGTCTCCTAGAAGGCTTTTGTCATTTTGAAGTGAAAAATTCAATCCTTTTTCTAGGATCGTGAATGTTTTGGGATTGAGAGGAAATGATGATTAATTCACTACTTTCTTCAGATACTCGTGCTGATCAGTAGGTGTTGTCGCCCGGGAAGCCAGATCAACCGGGCGTACCGGCTTCAAATTATGCTATTTTATAATCCCGAACTTACGCAAGTTATCGTCGTGTCGTTTTGTTAGTAAGTCAAAGATCCTACGTGATTTCTTGTTGGTCATGC